GGGATCCTTGCCCATCTCCTGTCCACTCTCTCGGACCTACATAGAGAAAGGGGAGCTCTCACTTATTCTCTGGATCCTCAACAGGGAAGCAACAACCGCATCCTCCCATAGACTAACACCCTTCTGCTCATTTCTTCTTGAAAAAGAAAACAGCCTCCAAACTCTCTCATCTCACTCACTCACTCACTCACTTTCATAGACTCATGGATATTGACCTCACTCACTGCACTCGCATACAATAGCATCTGAAATTCAAAAACGAGAAAAGCTTCAAAATTTGAGATTAAAAAAAAAGGTTTTGAAGAAGAGAAGGAAAAATAGAGTTGTAGCTGATTTTCAGTCGTCATTTGACTATTCTTGAGGCCTTACTGCTGCTGTCAAGCCTTTGTTTGGCTATTGAAAATTTTATTGCTGCTGGTAATTGTACTGCTGTAGTTGGGATTCATCTTCAGAGTTCAACACCTTTGTTTGGATTCCTATTCTGTTATTATTCTGCTCTTAGGTATGTACAATCCAACTGAAAATTACTTTTCAAATATAATCTGAGAAATTGGGTATTGTGTTCCATATTTGTGTTTGTTCACTTAGAATCGGCATGTTCTGGTTGTTTAAATTGTTTGGATTCCTTATTGTTTTGTGATATTGATTATGTGTTAAAAAAGGGGATAGAATGTCCATTGATATCTGTTCACATAATTATTTCATTATTAGAGATTATACCATGTTTAAATAATAGTCTATGTTGTGAGTCGATTTTAAGAGTAGTATGCTTTCAAATTCAACCGCTATTTGGACATATCTATTTCTGAAAGAGTCCGGCTCTTTGTGCACTTGAATGAGCGTAGTAATTATGAGGTTTAACTTTTCCGTTTTTGAAGGCAGTGTGTTGGAAATTGTGGAGTATAATGTATTATGTCGTTTCATCTCAAAGTAGCTTGTTAAAATATTAGTTTTAAGTTTTTGAGAATAATCTGTTGCATGTGATTCAAATGGGTTCAATTGTAAAACAGTCATGAAATAATTTTGGCCTCAAGTTGGACCAAGCTTTAATGTTTCATGTGTACAGCAATTAATTCTAATAAAAATAAGATTTTTGTTACTAATTAATTAACTCATTCTTTTTAGTAATTAATTTAAATGCTAGACAATTAGTAGCCGCGCTTTAACTTCACGGACTCGCTTGCGTAGCGTGATGTTTAATATTCAATTGATTCAAACAATCTCATATCATATCCATTAGCTTTAATTAATTACTAAATTAGTTAATCCCTTAATATAAATCGCGGATTCGTTTGCGTGGCGCGATAGTTGACATTTAACAAATTCCAAAATCAATTTATTCGAATCTAGTAATTTCAAAAGTAAATTCGGTCGCACGTTTGCCTGCGTGGTGTGGTTAGGATAATTTAATATTATTTTAAAATTTTCTTTAATAATTTTAATAATTAAAAGCGGATAGATAAAGCACGAAAACCAATAAATTACAGTTTTATCCAAAATTAATTCAAGCCAAATGTAGTCAATAAAGCGATCGTGCTAGAACCACGGGACTCGGAGAATGCCTTACACCTTCTCCCCGGTCAACAGAATTCCTTACCCGGACTTTGTTTTCGCATACCAATAATAATAGAGTCAAACATTCCTTTGACTAGGGATTCAAATAAAAGGTGACTTGGAACACCCAAAAACTCAATTCCAAGTGGCGACTCTGTAAATAAAATAGTCCCTACTCAAGTTTGTCACTTTAATTGAAGAAACTCTTCAACCCATCATCCACAATCATATAACTCATTATATCATTTGGGGGTATAAAAGGGGTGTGACAATCCTCTATTTGTATTTTTCAGAATCCAAAATCTTTGTCATTGAACTTTTCAATCTTAACCTTCCCATCTTCCGATGCCATTTTTCACAAAAAAATTATGTGAATAGTGTCTGTGAATAGTAACGATGATCAATAGTGCCACACTATTCTTGTGAATAGTACCTGTACCGGTACCGTACTTTTCTACCAGAATTACATTGTCTGTGCTATGATACCAGTTGTTGGGAAACGTGTCAGGCTAATAGAAGGAAAAAATATTTGAAAGAGAGAAGCAATAAATTGCACAAGACAAGACAAGACATGATTTACGTGGTTCGGCAATTTTGCCTACTCCATGGCCACACAAAGAATAACTCTTTATTAATTGAAAAGAGAAAGAAGAAGTTGAGAGATGATTTGCAAATGAAAATGCATACTCCTTTTATAGGCATTTGAATGCCCTACTGAGGTAAGCGCTTATATCATACGAATGCCGATGTATTCGCATACATCATAATTTCATCTCTTTTTTTATTTTTCTTTTATCCATTTTTCTTTCTTTCACATACAATAACAAGTTTGCTACCATCACTAAAAAAGTTATTTTCTTAAATTTAAAATTATAAAGGGGCATGATATACAAATAACACGATGACTAATTTAGTAGCACTTTTTGTTAACACCATTATCCTTAACAAGAAATATTTTTAATCAGTGGACTACTTGAGCAGCAGCTTTATTCTTTGGCGGTCCATCAATCAAATATGGGGCAACATATTGCTGCATTTCTTGAATATCCATTCCAAGGTGAATTCCTGGTAACTTTATGAACTTCACTTTTCCAGCTTTATCCAATGTTTGTAATCCAAACGTATCCTCTAGATAAAGATTAGTCTGCCAAAAAAAAAAAAATATTATTACTCCTAAAATATACTAACAGGATTATTGATTTTAAGAAGTACAAATAGGAAAATAGTATTACCTGTTGCGGTGGCAAAATTTGAGAGTAGGTTCCATCTTGATAAAAGCCAAACCAAGAACTTTCTTTTGGGTTTATCACATTATCATTTTCAAACTGTAAAGATATTCAAAATAAAAAGGGGATTATTTAGTAAATACATACTTGAATTAATAAATATAGGTGGAGATAAAATAAAAAAGAATAGTAAAATGTACCATGATAAGTACAAGGTTCTTCAAGCTGGTGAAACGCTGCTTATAAATGGGATTAGTTGCATTAGGAATTTCATTATTAAGCTTTGGTAGATACCTACAACCTTTCAAATATCCAGCAATATCCTGAGAAAAAGAAAAAGGAGAACCAATGTAAAGAAAATGTTAAATTATAATCCGTTTCCACTTTAAGAGTATTTACGAATATAATCAAAGAAATAATTAAGCAAGAATTACTCACATTTGGAAGCTTGGTATAGCCACTAGGAGCATAATGAGCCTAAGATTTGCAGATGAAAAACTCGAATAATCACTTGAAAAAATTGAAAGGAAAGTAAAAGAATATGAAAAGAGATTTTAAAGAGAGTATACTTGAACATAATCGGAGTATATTCCAACACCACCAGCTCCAGCACACCAAGGGCCACCCTATTAATTAATTAAAGAACATAAGTTATTTTACACTTCGTAATTGTATACACCAACAATATAAATAATTTATATACTATTGACGTAGTTTAACTTGTGATAACATGTTAATTGTATACTCGTTTCATTCTGTTGCGCTGTTATTTTTTACTATTTGATCTTCTATGTTCTTTGTTGTTGGTCCATTGCAGTCAAATTTTCGCATTACTGGGTTTGTTTTTACATTATAAATGCAAATAAACTCTATTATTATTATTATTATTATTATTATCATTATTATTATTATTTTTATTATTGTTATTGTTGTTATTATATTACTACGACTTGGATGGATATAGAATTACATACAGTGCAGGCAGCAACACCAGCATTAGGTCCACCTATTGAGATAAAATTCTTGACCTGTGGCACAATTAAGTTCCAAAAAAAAAAAACGATTAAACGTAAATAATGAACATAAAGAGAAAAACTATTGTTAAAATATAATTGTGATAAAATTCTCACCGGGGGTGCTCCATCACAGAACTCTATAAGTCCTCTAGCTACCATATTTCCCTGAAAAACACATTTTCCATAAATAAAATATTGATTGCCGCACAATTATGTGTCGTGATTTTTAAAAATAATTGTCTCAAATAATTTATCATTTTAGAAGCTCAAGACAAAATTGATTATATTTTTTTCTATTTTACCTTTAATAGTAATTGTTCTAGAATATGGAGATAACACATAAATAGAATAAATATTTAATGAATATAGATTATATCTTAAGACAAAAATAAGGGTAAAATAATCTAATATTTCTCTTAATTAATATTTTTTTAAGGAACGTGTAAAAGAAAAATACGATAAATAATTTTAGACTTAGGGAGTAATAAGAAGACAAAAAGGAAAAAGTAAGGGAGACGCATTTATTATTATAATGAATATTTACCTGTGAGAGACCAACTAAGTTGTAACCTTGTTGAAGTTCATTCATTCCCTTCACCTATAATTTAATTTCAGACATTGTCAATAGGTTTTCAATTTTTTATATTTTTAGTTCTAAAAAGTATAGTTGAAAAGAGAAACAAAAAGAATAATCTAGTGATGTCTCATTACCTTTTCACAAGCAATTTGAACCTACAAAGTACAGCATGGGCAAAAAGAAAGGCACGGATT